AATAAAATAATATTAAATAAATAGTAAATATTCAATTAATATTAAAGAAATACTAAATAATTATATTAATAAGAATTATAATTTATTATATTAAGAAATAATTATAGTATGATATAATTATTATACATTATAATTATATGGTTATAATTAATATATATTATAATATTATTAAAATAATATATTCATTATATTATAATACGAAGGGTGAATTGTAGCCAGAGCTCTCTTCATAGAGAGCAGGCAGGCCCAACTTCCCAAGGATATTTCCTGGGAATTGCATTGAGGAACCTCAAAGAAGAAGAGAAAACAATTCTTATCTCTATTCTCTGCTCCTGGTGTTTTGCACATGTGGAATGTGTGGAATGTGTTCTGGAGATTGTTTGCCTGAAGGGATTTGTCAATTGGATTCTGCTGAGGATTGTTTTGTTTCCTTGGCCAGTTGGGTCAGAGCTGTGTCCTGGCTCTCTCAGACAGTCATGGGTTTTCCTTTAGTATTTATCTTTGTATAGTATCTCTTTAATATAGTACAGTATTCATGTAATACAGTAAATTTTTAATAGTTGTTCAGCCTCCTGAATCAATGGAATCAGGTGCCAATGATTCTCCACAGGGGGGTCACCTGATTCTACCACACAAGCCCAGCCAAGCTATGGCATCTGTTGGGGGGTGTTTGCAGCCTGACCTTATCCCTGCCTGCCCCAGGCTCTGACAAACACAGGTGTGGAAATATTTACTGTCCCTTAGCCAGGCCATGTCAGAGGAGGTGACAACACAGAGCCACCGATGCCACCAGCAGCTCAGGGTGCTGCTTTTCTGCTTGGAGAATGGATGGGAGTGCTGGGGGCTGAGTCTGGGGCTGTGTGTGGCTTGGAAGGCAGAAACACCCCTTGGTTCAAGCAGAATTTTGAGTTTCATGGTGTTTTTTTAGCCTGCAGAAAAGAGGGCTCAGAGGGGACGTTGTCACTCTCTGTGACTCGGTGACAGGAGGGTGCAGCCAGGGGGGCTCTGCTCCCAGAGGACAGGACAAGAGGGAATGGCCTCGGGTTTTGCCAGGGGATGGTCAGATTGGACATCAGGAAGGATTTCTTCACTGAAAGGGTGATTAAACATTGGGAGGTTTGGAGTCCCCATCCCTGGAGGTGTCCAAGGATGTCCAGGATGTGGCACTCAGAGCTCTGGGCTGGGGACAATGTGGGGACAAGGCACATCTGGGACTGGGAGGGCTTTTCCAACTTTAATGGCTCTGTGAATATCTGCTCCATGAGCCCCACCTCCTCCTCATCCTCTGAACAGCATCCACACTATCTTATCTTCTTTTTTTTTTCTTTTTTTTTCTTTTTTTTTTTTTTAATTTGATCTGGCCTCTTTTGATGACTAAGGGAGCAGGAAGATTACAGTTTAAGTACATAATTTTCATTTGATGTGACAGGTTAAAGCTGTGTGCATTTAGAGCAGCCTTAGATTATTTTAGTTCAATTGCAATGCTGATTTAGACCCTGACTCACTCTTTCAGGCCTGATTTCATGTAGATATATGTTGGAAATGCAGGCACATGTGTGCATTACTCTGCTGAGATGCTGGGGTAGGGCTGGACTCACACAGCAAACAGTCCTGAATCAGAGGCAGAGAGAAGTTAATTGTGCTTATTGGGTGGGTTTTTTTTTTCCCAGCATGAAGGCTGGATATTCCAGAGTTTATTTTCTGTCCCCTTGTGCCCCTCCCAGACCCTGGGCTGTGTAATCTGCCCGTGCAGGGAGTGCTCTGAGTGCCCTGGAGCTGACAGCTGGGCAGCCTAAACACCATGGAGAATTTAGAATTTAGTAAATTGCTAAAACTCACAGGGCAGCCTGGGAGCAGTGACCTGGGGGTGCCTGGCCCGGCAGGAGGGAGTGGAAAATGCTTTGTGTGGATTGGCAATGGAATTCTGCCCCTCCACACTGCCCTGGCAGCCACCCCTGCAGTGCTCAGGGCTGCATCCAGCTCTGGGTGCCAGCATGAGGAAAACCTGGAGCTGTGGGAATGAGTCTGGAGCAGGGACACGAGCACCCAGGACATTCCTCTGGCTGCCCTGGGGGACTCCAGACCCTGGCAGGGGGCTCAGAGACCTTGGCACGGAGTCAGAAACACCTGTGCCTTTGATTTTAACCCATGGAAACAATTCCCAACTTTGTGTGAGGAGTTACAGGCCACAAGAGTTTGAATAGAATGATAGTGAATTTATCACTGGGTGAAAAAGCAGAATTGTGGGGTTTTTAGAATGGGGGTTCAAGAGGCAAGATGGATGTGTCCTGTCTTTCTCCTTCTTCTTCTTGTCCTCCATCTTCTGCTGTGATGGTGGCATTTCTGGATTGGTTAGAGTAGAGACAGACTGTCTAACTTAGGTGATGGGTATTGGGAAATTATTGTAAATAAAGTACACACAGTTCTTAGTATAAAAAGCTAACACTGCCCCAAGGGCAGTCAGTGTGCCTGGAACCCAACCTGCTGGACAGATCTCAGAGAAAGAATGTGATAGATAAGAAAAAATAAACAACCTTGAGAACCAAAGCTGAGGAATCTCGACTTCTTCTTTGGTCGTGGAGCTGGGAAAAAAGACTCTTTAATACCTTGGGAGCCATTTCAGCAACACCAAACCCAACAACTCCTCCGCTACAGAGCCGGGCTGGGAGAGCTGGCACTGCTCAGCCTGGAGGAGAGGAGGCTTCAGGGAGACCTTTGAGCCCCTCTCAGTTAATGCTTTACAGGAGAGTTGCAGAGGGGCTTTTCACGAGGGCATGGAGTGACAGGACCAGGGGGAATGGCCTTGGGGTGAAGCAGGACAGGTCAGAATAGATATGGGAAAGAAATTGTTCCCTGGCAGGGTGGGCAGGGGCTGGGATGGAATTCCCAGAGCAGCTGGGGCTGCCCCTGGATCCCTGGCAGTGCCCAAGGCCAGGGTGGACACTGGGGCTGGAGCAGCCTGGGACAGTGGGAGGTGTCCCTGCCATGGCAGGGGTGGAGCTGGATGAGCTTTAAGGTCTTTTCCAACCCAAATCAATCTGTGATTCCATAATTTTCATTTTAAGGCTGCCCTGATGGCAGCCAGTGAGCTGTGATGCTCAGCAGCAATGTGGGCAGGGATTGGGGCCCCAGCCCCAGCACTGTGCTCCGGTTTTCCATGGGAAAAGGCCCAAACCTTCCTCATTTCCAGGTGCAGGGCAGACAATTTTTATGCAGAAACTTTTGTGTGCTCAGTAGCTGTGTGGGTCAGGCCGTGACAAAGGAAGTGTTAGCACTTTCCCAAAACTAAAGCAAGATTTTTTGGGAACTTGGGAGTACAAAGGAGAGAGTCATGCATGCAGAGGGAGGCACAGGCATTCTCAGGTGCTAATGCTTCCTCACTGCAGGAAACTAAAGCTACCCAGGAGTGGTTTTTAGAATAATTAAAAAAAAAAAAAAAAAGAAAAAGCTTTCCTTTCTGCAGCAAATCTGGAAGTGGATCTGGACCTCTCTTCTCACTCGTGTTTCTCCTGCAGAGCACACCAAGCAAGCAGCGTTCTGTGTGTGTCTCCTTAACCACCTCTCCATCTCCAGCCTTGGAGCGGAGGGGGAGGAGAAAGGAGCTGCCAGCAGCTCGCAGTGATTGATTTGTCTCGTGTTTTCTTGCGCTGCGCTCTAACAACCTGTTTCAAAGGGAGAGAAAAAAAAAAAAAAAAAAAAAAGACAATGACAACGACAAATCAAAGCGAGCATTTTCTCGCTAGAAATTCCAAGGGCCCGGGATATTTTGCTATTGAATGTGAGGCTTTATCAGTAACGTTTGTCTGGGAGGTTTTGGGTTTTTTGTTTGGTTGGTGTTTTTATTTTATTTTATTTTTTCTTCCTGCTGTAGCTCGCAGCGTTCAGAAGAGCAATGCCTTTCCCCCGGAGCCATTTGCTTCAATAATTGTTTGTGCCGCGGAGCTGCCGCTGGTCGCTGTCACCAGGGGACAGCTCACAAAGGTAAAATCAGCTCTCTCCACGTGCTCCGAGTGTTGGAATTGGCGCTGGGGAGGCATCGGGTGTCCTGCCTGGGCTCGGACTTTGCCCTGAAGCAAAGGCTGGGTGCTGAGGGCTGGACTGAGCCCGGACAGCTCGGGGAGCAGGCAAACAGGGGGGTCCAGGTTCAGGGATGGTGTCCTGAGTCCAGCTCGGGGGTCCAGGGAAGGTGGTCAGGGATGCTGTCCTGAGTCTAGCTTAGGGATCAGGCGGACAGGGGGTCAGGGATGCTGTCCTGAGCCCAGCTTGGAGATCGGGCGGACAGGGGGGTCAGGGATGCTGTCCTGAGCCCGGACAGCTCGGGGATCCGGCGGACAGGGGGTCCAGGTTCAGGGATGCCGTCCTGAGCCCATCTTGGGGGGCAGGGGGACAGGGTGGTCAGGGATGCTGTCCTGAGTCGGGGATCAGGCAGACAGGGGCTCAGGGATGCTGTCCTGAGCCCGGACAGCCCAGGGATCAGGCGGACAGGGGGGTCCAAGTTCAAGGATGCCGTCCTGAGCCCGGGGATCAGGCGGACAGGGGGATCCAGGGAAGGGCTCTCAGGAATGCTGTCCTGAGCCCAGCTTGGAGATCAGGCGGACAGGGGGTCAGGGATGCTGTCCTGAGCCCGGACAGCTCGGGGGTCCAGGTTCAGGGATGCTGTCTGAGCCCGGGGATCAGGCGGACAGGGGAGTCAGGGATGCTCCCACCCCGCGTTGCGCGCAGGGTGAGGTTTGCTCCCCTCGCTTTCCCGTTTCCCCGGCGCGGTGGTTTTGCGTTCGGATGTCATTCTCCATCAGGAAAACCCCTCCGGGGGTGGCTCAGTGCGGGCTTTGGAGCAGAGGGAGATTTCTGTCGGTGGCTGGGAGCGCCCGGCCGAACTTTCCCAGCGCCGGGAGGAGCCGCTGCCGCTGCTCCCATTTCCATCTCCATCTCCTGGCAGGACGCTGCTGCCCACCTCCCACCCCAAACACTCCCAATAAACCCATCCACAGCCAGCTGCTGACCTGGAGCAGAGGTTCAGAGGGTCTGCTACCCACGGCACCGAGGGAGGGAGGAGGAAAGGGAGGGAGGAGGGAGGGGAGCGGCAGCGGGGAGTTCAGGTTACCGCGGCCGCATCCCCGCCTTCCTCCGCTTCTGCCGCCGGAGCCGGCCCGAGGATGAGCCCCTGGCTGGGCACAGCGGGGCTCCGGGGTGGCAGGGGGACAGCCGGGCAGCTGTAGCCCCGCAGATCCCGCAGATCCCGGCGGGAAGAGCCGCAGGGCCGGAGGATGCGCTGCGGACGCCCGGGGTGAGGAGGCGCCGCTGCCTTCGGCAACTGCAGGTAGGAGCGGGAACAGGGACTCCCTTCCTTCTCTCCCTCCTTCTCTCCCTTCTCTCCCTTCTTGTTTCCCTTCTTCTCTCCCTTCTTCTCTCCCTTCTTCTTCTCCTTTCTCTCCCTTCTTTTCTCCCTCCTTCTCTCCCCCTTCTCTCCCTTCTTCTCTTCCCTTCTTCTCTCACTCCTTCTCTCTCTCCTTCTCTCCCTTCTCTCCTTTCTTGCCTTTCTTTCCCTTCTCTTCCTTCTCTCCTTTCTCTCCTCTTCTCTTCTCTTCTCTTCTCTTCTCTTCTCTTCTCTTCTCTTCTCTTCTCTTCTCTTCTCTGCCTCTCCCTTGTTCTCTCCCTTCCCTCCCTTCCCTCCCTTCCCTCCCTTCTCTCCTTTCTCTCCCTTCTTCTCTCCCTCCTCCTCTCCCTCCTTCTCTTCCCTTCTCCTCTCCCTTCTCTTCTCCTTTCTCTCCTCTCTCTCCCTTCCCTCCTTTCTCTCCTTTCCCTCCCTCCATCCCTGGATGGCCCTCGGAGCCGCCGCTCCAACTTTCCCAAACTCTCTGGTGTGTGTGAGAGGGAGAGCAGAGCAGAGGGGGCTGCAGGTGTGACCCTGCTGGAAACCGGGATCCAAATCCAGCCCTCCCTATCCAGGGGTGTCCCAGCTCCGGGCTGCTGTGCCCTTCCCCTGGTAAAAGGGGTGTCACACACAGATTTGGGGGTGAAAATGGGATAATGAGTAACCTGACTTGCTGGATTTTATGGGGCAACATTTTGGCAGCCCCACATAAAGACCAAGATCAGTTAGGACAAAGCCAGGGCAGCATTCTCCTTGCTGTCCTGCTCGGATAAAATGCTGAAAAACAGAATATCCACAGGGCACAGGTAAGTAATTAAAATCACAGCCACTGGCCCAGATCCCACAAATATTTCTGTGTATAATCAGCACTTTTAAAGCCAAGTAGTTATTGACAAAGGATTTGCCAGCATGAGGGCCCCATGGCTGGATTTGTGTTCCTTTGGCCAGGAAGATTTTTTCCTCCCAAAGTACCAGACTTGATGCTTGAACAGGCACATGAATGCAAAGACTTAGTTCAGCTGTTAGGGGAGTATAAAGTTCCAAACACCAAAAAATGACTGTGCCAAGAGGCAGAATGAAACAAAAGGGCAAAGCAGGAGCACCTTGCTCACCGGCTCCAAGTGCTCCCCAAGCTTAAAATAGGGAAAAAAAACATTTGCAATGTAACATCCCACAGTGGTTCTCATCCTACAGCGAGAGCATCAGGAATGAGCAGCAGTCAGAGATTTAGGAGTGGTACTGGAATATCTTCATTGGCAATTTTTCCATTTTGAATGTTTTTTTTTTTTTTTTTAACTTGCATAATTATCACTTCTCTTCAGTGCTATTTTACTTCTTCCTTCATGTGTCTTGAGGCTGTTTCCAAGGGAGAAGAGCAAGATCCTCATTCTATCTGAAATAACCATTTCCAGTTTTATTTCTCTTTTGCATTGAGATAAGGAAAAACAACCACCAGTACTACTTGTAAAAGAAGGTGCAATAAATAATTTGGTTTGGGGGCATAGAATTTTTTGGAGAACTGGACTTTTGGAGTCCTGGTAGAGGCAACAAGAGCCTAAGGAAGAAATTTCCTCATTACTTTGTTTATGAAGATAGGGGGAATGTGAGCTGGGTTCGATTCCTGCTCAGCACAATGAAGCACAGGGGTTTACACAGGGTCAGGTTGCTCTGATTCATCCCGTGCTGGACAATTGCTTATCTGTGCTGAGATCTGGGCTTTGGAATAGAGCAAGGAGGGTAAAATTGCTGATTCATGAGGCCATGCTGAAATAAGTTAAATGTGCCCATTAGCATCAGGGATAAAAGGAACGTGGTGGTGTTGCAGGAACAGAGGAAGAATTAGGAGAAGAGTCTATTAGCATTGGGGAGAAATCCAGACAGGGATGGTTGGCACTCAGCAGGTGAAGGGAGGACAGAAAGAGGAGGAGGAGGAGAAGGCTTTTAGGCTGAAGGTTTGGGGAAAAATGCTACCAAGATGAGAGTGCCCCAGGGCACTGCTCTTCTCCCTGCCTGTGAGAGAGGATGAGAGAGGATGCCCTTGGCTGGCTGCCTGTCTGCTGTATTTGCATCCCCTGCGCAAGTGGAACAAGACCAAAGTGTCCAAATGTGCTCCTGGAAAGGACACAAAGCACCTGCAGGGGAAGTGGGACTGCACTGGGTGTCCTGTGCAGTGTCCCTGCATGGATGGTCTGAGCTCTCCAAAGGAGCCTGAGCCCTCACTGCAGCATCCCCTCCGTCCTGGGAAAAGGATCTGGCCCTCAGAACACCCAAACTCAACATTTCTGTGGGTGTTTAAGGGCCAGGATCCATCCAGAGAATGTTGCAGGTGGCTTGAGAAAGCGAGCTGATATTTTAAAATAGCAGCGAGCTTCCTTAGCTTGGCTAAAGTCCCTGGGAATTCTATATATTTCTTTTTGACTCCTCACTTGCAGCACTTATTTCCTGTGACATTACCAGAGCACTGGCACCTCCTGCCAGACTGTTTCACTTTGAGTCACTCCAAGACACAAAAACTTTTTGTGTTTTGGTTTTGAGAGAAAAATTGCATCTGGGTCTGAGGATGCCTTTTTGGCTTTTCAAAACAGACGTCGTGAGCAAGTTGGGTGGATGAGATCAAGGTGCATTAAGAGCTAATGGCTCTTGATTTTTTCTTTTTAATAAGGAGGAAGATGCATCCTCTGGTTCAAAAGATTCCTGTGTCACAAAAGCCTTCCCTCCTGCCATGATCTTGATTTTCCTTTGGGCATCCGGGTGGGGACAGAGGCAGGACCCAAGGACACCTGGTCTGGGCCATTGCAACCAAATATAAAAATAAAAATAAAAATAAAAAAAAATAAAAATAAAAATAAAAATAAAAATAAAAATATTGAACCACAACCAATAACAATGACAATAACAATAACAATAACAATAACAATAATAATAATAATAGTAGTAGTAATGTGAAAATTTCCACATCCAAGGTGACACTTCTGGATCTGAGTTGGAAACACTTTTCTGAGTGGATGAAGCCCAGAAATGTTTTGGGTTTTTTTTTTTTTTTCTGTAAAAAGATGCAGCTATTAAATATTTGAGCAATCTGCTGGGACTGTGGTTAACCACCAGTAAGGTGCCCTGTGTGGCACAGAAAATACAATTCAGGAGGAAATGATGCAAATTTGCCTCTGTCTGGGTGAGGTTAAGGAGTTATTGTGGGTCAGTTCTTGTGGGTTATTTCTTTTCTGAAATAACCTCATAGCACCATAGGGCAAGGAAGTGAAACTTGAAGAGACTCTTGCTCAGGTACTGAGCAATTTAACCAGTTTTAAACCTGAATTTTAACCTAAATTTATATTTTAATTTTTTTGCTTTTTTTGACCATGGTTTTTCTTTGATTGCTGTGAAAAATGTTTCTTTGCTTATTATAGCTGTGCCAGGTACTGAGCAATTTAACCAATTTTAAGCCTGAATTTTTTAAACCTGAATTTTAACCAATTTATATTTTGAAATTTCTCCCTTTTTTTGACCACGGTTTTTCTTTGATTGCTGTGAAAAATGTTTCTTTGCTCATTATAGCTGTGCCAGTGTTTAGGCCATGTTGGCCATGCATATATCTGTATATATCTAAATGGTATTTCATTTTAATCTAGAATGTAACATCTCACTCTAATTTTTCTTCCTCTAGAAAATTCATAATTCACTTGTTTTTAACCATGCATATTTTTAATTATTCTTAATTCTCTCCTTATCAAAACCCCAGGTGGTAAATAAAAACCAGCCCAGCCTTCCACAAAGAAAATTCAATCTGCTGTTGGAGCCACAGGGTCAATCAGCTAAATGGGTATTAGTAACATAAAGGCAGAGCATAAGCCAGGCCACGCAGTGGGATTTGCAAATCCATAACAGAAATGCTCCTTTTCTATCTGATCTCTAATTGATGGCTCTGGGACAGAGCCACTGCCTGGACAGAAAACATTTCTGGAGAACCAGGGGCTCGTTTAAAGCATGGCAAGATTAAAGTAAAACCCATTTTTTCCATGCAGATCCCATCACAGCAGGCCTGGGAGGGAAAAATGGGAGAAAAACCAGAGAGATGAAAATAATCGAGACAAAAACAAACCCACGACAAAACAAACAAAAACCCAAACAAGAGAAACCCCAACCAAACAAAACAAAGCAAAACAAAACCAAAAAGCCCCCCAAAAAACCCTAAAACAAAAAAAAAAAACCAAAACCCCAACCAAACAAAAAAACCTGTGTGGGTTCACCAGAAACGGGCACCAAAATTGGCAGGAATAAACTTTTCTAACTTTCTTGCTGTTGCTTCTTTTTACATAATTTGCCAGAAGCCCACTGGAATGGGTTTTTGGCAAATTATGTAAAAAGACATGAAATGAAACAAAAAACAAACAAAAAACCTCACAAAAAAAACCCCAAACAAACACACACACACACAAAAAGGCGAAAAACAAAAAGAAAAATAAAAGGGCCCTAAATAATGACAAAAACAAAAATGAAACAAAAAAACCCAAAAAAACTCGCCAAAAAAAAAAAACCAAAAAAAAAAAAGGAAAAAAAAGAAAGGAGAAAAAAGGGAGAAGATTTGGCCATAAATAATGACAAAAAACAAAAATGAAACAAAAAAACCCCCAAAAAACTCACAAAAAAAAAAACCACAAAAAAAAAAGGAAAAAAAAGAAAGGAGAAAAAAGGGAGAGAATTTGGCCATAAATAATGACAAAAAACAAAAATGAAACAAAAAAACCCCAAAAAAACCTCACAAAAAAAAACCACAAAAAAAAAAAAAAAGGGAAAAAAAAGAAAGGAAAAAAAGGGGAGAGGATTTGGCCATAAGTAATGACAAAAACCAAAAACTCACAAAAAAACTCACAAAAAAACTCACAAAAAACCAAAAAAAAAAAAAAAAAAGGGAACAAAAAGGAAAAGACAGGGAGAGGATTTGGCCA